GGCCGCTCCGCCCTCCGGGTCGTGGCGTCCGTCCCTCCCCTGCTCCCCTGCCGCTGCCCGGACAGGGGCTCGGGAGCCCGGCCGGGACAGGGGCGGGAGCCACGGGACGAGCGCCTGAGGTGGGTGCGGAGCGGGAGGCCAGGAGGCGGGGAGGCCGGGCGGGCGGGCGCCTGGGTCTGCCCCTCAGACGGACCCCGCTTCGAGGTGGGAGAGGTTGCGGAGCCCGCCTCCCGGCCTGCCTGGGTCCTGGGCACTCGTGCCCGCGCCCTGCTTCCCCTCCCAGGCCACCACCCTTCCCGCCGGGGACACCCCGCCCCTCTCTCTGCCCGCAGCCTCCTCACCCCTCTTGCCCTTTGTCGCTGTGCACCTGCCCTCTGGGCCCTGTGCCCCCACTCCGCCTCCAGACCCACCCCCGCCCAGCCTTTCCTCCTCAGGACTCAGCACCAAATTACACTGGCTCCTTCAGCCCCCATCCGTCCCTCTTTGTAGTCTGTACACCTGTCACCTCAATTCTGTTCATCCACTCCACCTCGCCCCCCAACATCTTCATCTCAATCCAGCCCAGGCCATCATCCCCCTCCCCCTCCCAGGGATTATCCCCTACACCTGCCCCACTCAGCCCAGCCCCACGTCCTCCCCATCCATACTCCTTTGTTGTCTCTGCAGCTGTCCCCTCAGCTCTATTCATCCTTCTCCCCCAATTATGCCAAACCCCAGCCCAGACTCTCGTCTTTTTCTGACCAGTGAGCTCCCTGTCCCCAGCTCTGCTCTGGCATTCCTGGGGATCAGTGCCCAGCCCGCTGCCCCCTCAGCCTAGCCATTGCCCTTCCTCTTTCAGCCCAGCCCTCTCACCTCCTCCCAAGGGTGACTGTCTCCCCCTCTCCCAGCTGGTCCAGTCGTCCCTGGTCTCTCCCACACCAGCCTACTTCCCTGTCCTCATAGATTCTCTTTTCCTTGCTGTGCTCCTCTCCCCTCCCACCTGGCCTCAGCCGTCTGTACCCCCGCCCTCCCCACCCCACAGTGCCTGTGGAGAAGCCATGGAGCTGAGCAGCAAGAAGAAGCTTCATGCCCTGTCCCTGGCTGAGAAGATCCAGGTGCTGGAACTCCTGGATGAGTCCAAGATGTCCCAGTCGGAGGTGGCCCGACGCTTCCGGGTCTCCCAGCCCCAGATCTCACGCATCTGCAAGAATAAGGAGAAGCTGCTGGCCGACTGGTGCAGCGGCACGGCCAACCGGGAGCGCAAGCGCAAGCGCGAGTCCAAGTACAGCGGGATCGACGAGGCTCTGCTCTGCTGGTACCACATCGCCCGGGCCAAGGCCTGGGACGTGACGGGGCCCATGCTGCTCCACAAAGCCAAGGAGCTGGCCGACATCATGGGCCAGGATTTTGTGCCCAGCATCGGCTGGCTGGTCCGCTGGAAACGTCGAAACAATGTAGGCTTTGGGGCCCGCCATGTTCTCGCGCCTCCGTTCCCCCCTGAGCCGCCTCCCCCAGGCCCCACATCCCCCGCCCAACCGCCTCTTTCCCTGAAAGACTTCTCCCCAGAGGACGTTTTTGGCTGCGCTGAAGTGCCCTTGCTGTATCGAGCCGTGCCTGGCACAGTGGGTGCCTGTGAGCGCATACAGGTGCTACTGTGTGCCAACAGCAGGGGCACAGAGAAGCGGCGGGCGTGGGTCAGTGGGCTCCGGGCTGCGCCGAGGTGCTTCTTTGGGGTCAGCAGTGAGGCTCTGCCTGCCTCCTACCACGCTGACCTGGGTGTCCCCTGGTCAGAGTGGTTGGCACAGTTCGACGGGGACATGGGGCGGCAGGGCCGACAGGTAGCCTTGCTGCTGGCCGCCCGAGTGGTGGAGGGGTTGGCAGGCCCGCCCGGGCTCTGCCATGTGAGGCTCCTGCCTCTGTCTGCCACCAGCACCACACCTTCCCTGCCCACCTCCGTGGTCCGGGCCTTCAAGGCCCATTACCGGCACCGTCTGTTGGGCAAGCTGGCTGTGGTCCAGAGTGAGAGGGCTGGCACCTCGCTGGCTGAGGCTGCAGCAGGCATCACGGTGCTGGACGCACTGCACATGGCAGCAGTGGCCTGGGCCAAGGTGCCTCCTCAGCTCATCGTGCGCAGCTTCATTCAGGAAGGGCTAGCTCCTGGCAGAACACCCCTGTCCCTGGACAAAGCCTCTGAGATGCCACCTGTCCCTGCTGGGCTGAGCCTCGAGGAGTTTTCCCGCTTTGTGGACCTAGAGGGTGAGGAGGCTGTGTCTGGAGTGTGCAAAGAGGAGATAGGCCCTGAAGACGAGGAGGGGGGCGGAGAGGATGGCTTTGCACCCCTTCCCACCAAAGCCGACGCCCTCCGGGCCCTGGGCACGTTGAGGAGGTGGCTGGAGTGTAATGGCACCTCCCCTGAGCTGTTTGAAAAATTCTACGCGTGTGAGGAGGAGGTGGAGCGTATCTGCTGCCTGTGAAGGGCCCCTCGCTGCTCGCCAGAGCCCCCTCCTCTCCTGTTTCCCATGGAAACGCCCTCTCGCAGAAAGCAGATTGGAGGCTGGTCTCTTTCCCGTGGAAATGGAGCTTTTGTGAAAGGTGTAGAAGGGAGACAAATTGGGAGACCAAGTCTTAGCTCTGAGCAGAAGTTGTCCAAGCCCCAAGAAGAGGGTTCAAAGGTGGGGCGTCTGGGGGGAACGAAGCTGCAGAGTTTCTGAACTTCTAGGGAGGCTGGGACTTGGGGAGGTGGAATTTGGGCCTTACAGGCAGGCTGATCCCTTGAACTCTGTTAAAACCAGTTCTGCTTCTGGAAATAAAGTTTTTAATCAGAAAAGACGCCAGGATGTTATTATCACGCGAGAAGGGTGAAAACTTTTGACTCAGATTTTTTAAATTGATTGCTGAGGGGCCAGCCCCATGGCCTAGTGGTTAAGTTCGGCATGCTCCACTTCGGTGGCCCGGGTTCGGTTCCTGGGCAGGGACCCACACTACTCGGCAGCCATGCTGTGGTGGCGACCCACATACAAAATAGAAGATTGGCACAGATGTTAGCTCAGGGAGAATCTTTCTCAGCAAATAAATAAATTGATAGCTGAGGGTTGCTGCAGTGCAGCTGTCTGGGCTGTCTGCAGATGACCAGTGAGGATCCTCTTCTTCCAGAATCCCAGCAGGCAGGACTCCCAGTGAATGGGGACTCCCCATCGGCTAACAGACAGATCCCAAGTATCGCCCCGGACATTCTGCTGCTCTGATAATTTCCCTCTGAGATTGCGGTGGTGGGGTGGCGTCAGGAAGGAGAGGGGGAGGCCGGGGACATTCTAGCGCCACAGAAAGGAGCCAGAACTTGGAATGGTTGTTTCTTCATTTGATGGTTTCGCAACATCTCTTCAGCAAGGCCTCCTGGGTGATGAGGTTGCAAAGATCGTGTGCCTGCTGGGCAGGACCTTGTGGACAGTGGCAGTGGAGTGTGACTAAGGGCTGTCATGAAGGTGTGTGCAAAGTGCAATGGCCCTACGGAGCCTGGGGAGACTCTGGAGGAGGTGAGCTTTGAGCTGCCGCTGGAAGGACAGACAGAGGAGTGGGAAGGATGGTCCAGGCCAAGGGGTGGCAGGCGTGGAGGCCGACCATGAGTGAAGGAGCCCAGTGCAGCTGGCGGAGGCAGGCAGGCCACCAGTGCACAGGGGGAGGCCTGGGGAGCTGGAGGGGTCGTTGGCCCGCCAAGCTCAGCAGTGGGGCTCCCCCAAGGGTTTCAGTCAAGGCAGGGACTGGTCATTTGTGGGTGGGCAAAGGCTGATTCTCCTTTCAGTTTGGCTCATTGCCCCAGCTGACCACCTCCACACCTGGCAGCTGGACAGGGACCAAGGACGACTCACTTTTCAGTAGTTCTGAAGCCACCTGCTGGCCTTCCACGTCTAGCCTAAGATCCCAAATCACTGAGCCTTTCCTTACAGAGTCTGTTTTTCCTACGTGTATTCATTTAAATTGTCCTTTGTCTGAAATCATTCCAGTTCTGACATATCTTTTTTTAAATGTTGAAACCGAAATTACACAATCCCCAAAGGCCTGAGGAAGCCAACGTGGAGGGGACGGATCAGCCCTCTGCTCTCGGTGTCCGGTTCCCTTTAGAGCAGCGATTCATCGCTGACTTCTTCCCAGAGCTTTTGTTTTAAAGCCACAAGTAATCTCCTCCTTTCTCGCAATGTTCTCATATATCACACCTTGCCTCGTTGTAGGTGACTGTGACGGCTCATTCAGGCAGTACTGACTGACTGCTTCCTTGTGGGGCAGGCCCTGGGCTGGGGCCCTGGAGCTAGTGCAGAACAAGACAGAGGATCGCTCCTCTCCAAGCCCTCTCTTTCTAGTGGAGGGAGATACACAGGAGAGAAGTAAACACATAGCAGTCATTTTAGATAGCCACAAGTGCCAAGATGAAAATAAAATAACGTCAGAGAGACGGGCTGGGGGAGGGGAGTCAGGGAAAGGGCCTTTGGGCTGAGGAGTGAACGGTAAGGAGGAAACACCCCTTCTTCAGAAGGAAGAACATTCTCTGCAAAGGGAACAGTAGGTACAAACATCTAAGGTTAGAAACAGCTTGACAGGTTTAAGAAACAGAAAGCCGTCCTGTGGCTGAAAGTAAGAGAGGGCCACGCAGAGGAGCGGGCAGAGGGGTGGGCAGGACATTCCCATTTCCTTCGAAGTAAGACAGGAAGAGGTTTTTTTGCAGTGGGGGGGGGGCAGATTTAGACAAAGCAGGAACATGGTATGTTTTATATTTTAAAAAATCTAATTCTAGGGCCAGCCCCACTAGCCTAGTGGTTAAGTTTGGCACACTCCACTTTGGCGGCCCGGTTTGGTTCCCAGGCACAGACCTACACCACTCGTCTATCAGTGGCCATGCTGTGGCGGTGGCTCACATACAAAAAAGAGGAAGATTGGCAGCAGGTGTCAGCTCAGGGCGAAACTTCCTCAGCAAAAAAAAAAGTCTAAGTCTAGTTGCTGTATGAAGAACATATGGGGTGGGGGGCAAAGGTGGAGACCAGAAAACCAAGCAGGTAAGAAGTTTCTGCAGTAGGTGGGACTTCCTCATGGATAGGGTGTAAGGTATGAAGGGGTGAGAGGAAGCGAATGGAACAGATGGTCATGCAGGCCTATCCAAGTTTGCAGGTATTGCCACATGCAAAGTGGGGAGGAGACAAAGAAATTATGTGCATTATTTCAGTTTATTTACAAGCATGTAATGAACACTCTATGGTCATAAGGCATGCAAGCCTCCAGGGTAGCAAAGATGAATAAGACAGTCCCTGTGCCAAGGTGCTCACAAACCAGAGGGGGAAATAAGAAGTGACCTATGATACAGGTCAGTCATGAGGATTAAACAAATTAATATTTATAAAACGTTTACTCCTTGCCAGGCACTATTTTAAACACTAAACATGTTAGATATTATTATTATTATTATATTTATCATCATCAGTCGAGAAGATGATGAAGTCGATGCAGAGAGCCCCAAAGCAGAAAGATTGGTTCCCCATCTTCTCTTTTTCAAATATACGTAATTATTTTTATACGCTCTTGTTTCTTCTATTTTAATTCTTTTATATAGTATTTAGATATTTCATGCACAGCTATTTCACACTCTGTATCTGATAAATCTAATATCTGAAACCCTTGGGGGACTAAATCTGTTGCTTTTGTTTTTGTTGACACTTTAATTCCTGGTGGCTTTTTACCTTGTGGGTTTGGTAATTTTTTGCCGTGGGGATTTTTTATTGGTTGCACTTAATCTCTGGAAAACCTGAAGATGCTGACTTAAGGGGCTCTCCTCTAGAAAAACTTGTAGTTACTCATACCAGACACAAGAGGGCGCTATTACCATGGTAAATTAATTTCCGGGCGGACCTGTCCCAGACCTGAAGGGTAGTGTGGGGAGCAGGCATATGGTTCCTGGTTTACAGGGGAACCTATCTTTTTTCAGGCACGTTTCTTTGTAGAGTCCCTTTTCCGGTGGGTGGAGGTTTCCTGGTCTACCCTTTCACTAAAGGTGAAGCCCCTTCCAGGATCTTAATTTATGAGTCTTGGTTCAGCTCCCCCACTGTATAAAGTTCTAGTCTTCTGTTCCCTGTGGTTCTGTTCTGGGTGGATCTCGAAGCGGGCAGCGTCAGCATTCGCCCCAAGGGCAGCCCCCTTTCCAACACGTGGCTTGCAATCACTTCCTTGTTTTGAAGGGGTCTTTGGGAAGTTCCCTTATTTCTTGCAAAGTTAGCAATGGTTTCAAAATCATGTATCTAATAATGGATCTGGAATCTAGTTGCTTTGCAGTAGGAGGACTCTATGTAAAATCTAGAGCTCCAGCCTGCCAGAGGGGAAGTTGGGAAGACCAGTTTTCTTTCATTCATTCATTCATTCATTCATTTGTTCAACAGTATTTATTGAGCACCTCCATATGCCAGCTAGAGTTTTGATGATGAACAAAAAGAGTCAGGGTCTCTGCTTCATGGTGCTTATAGTTTAGAGGAGAGACAGTTATAATCAAAGAGTTACACAAAGGAAAGTATGTAATTACAGACCGGAAGCGGGGAATGACATGACAGCGCAAGCCAGCGCTTCTCAAACTGTGGCCTGCACCAGCAGCATCCGGGATCTTAGTGAAATGCAAATTCTCAGACCCTCCCCAAACCTCCTGAATCAGAAACTCTAGGGTGGGGCCCAGCAATCTGTATTTTAACAAGCCCTTCAGGTGACTCTGAATCATTAGTATAAGCCAAAGGATCCTGACCTAGACAGAGGGGCTGAGGAAAGTTTCGCTAAAGAAGAGATGCTGAACTCAGAGCTGAAGGGTGAGTGGGAGGCACAGAAGCAGTGAGAACAACATGTGCAAATGTCCTGTGGTGGAAGGGAACTTGGTCTGTTTAAGGAACCAAGAGAAGGTGAATGTCCAAGCACCTTAGAGGCTGTGGAAGGAGCTTGCCCCGACTCCTCAGAGTAATGGGAAGCCATCGATGGGGACAAGAGGAGTGGGGTGACTTGATCAGAATTGCATTTGAAAAAGTTGAGTTATTTGTCCAGATTTGGGACAGGACCAGGGCTGTGAAATTAGGATTGGAAAAGAGGGAGTAAGTCCTAGAAAACTTTAGGAGTTGGGGACTCCTTTGATGTGGAAGGAGGAGAGAAGGAGAGCTTCTCTGAGCTGTCTGGCCTTAGGGTACACCTGGGCTGCAGAGCACTGCAGCGGGAGCAGGCAGAGGGGAAACGCCAGTGCTTTGGGATGCTCACGGATCCGTGACCAGAGACGGCTGGTGGTGTGGGCCTGGAGCTCAGACAGCGGTTGGGATGGAAACTCCTGAGACTCCTCTTGGCGCCGCTGTTTATCGAGTCTGGCAAAAGTGACTTGAGCCAGAATCATCCCAAGGCTGTGGCGTCAGTGTGGCACATGTGGCCTCAGTGTCACTACACACACAAGTTAGTCTCCTGTAATTTCTCCCACTGTGACCACTGCTATAAAAATAAGTGTGATGTTTCACAACACGAGTCCAATGAGACGCTATTTAACAGTTCACTCGAGTTACGAGCCCTTTACATGCGACCCGCAGACACCACCCCCATTTTCAACCTCAAAGCAGGTCCATTATCTATGTCCTAGTTCTTAGGGATTCCTTCCATCTAAATGAGTTCTCGAAAATCATGCTGACCTCTAATAATGTCTGTTAATTACTTAAGGAATTTAACGTGTATTATGAGACCCTCCTGACGAAAACATCCAGCTTTTAAAAATATCTTCAGTCATCTCCTGCCTGATCTTTGTGTGTCTTTTCAGCCTCCTTTCCGAGAGGAGGGGGGTATTTTCTCATTAATCACACCATGCTTAACACTAACCTCACCTAACCTCACTCCAGCCAGTTCTCTCAGCTCAGCAAGCAGCCCTGCTGTGAGCCAGGGGAAGGAGCTGGGGCCCAGAACCACATGGCCCGGCGTGAGGCCTGCCACGCTCTCTGGTTCTAATGAGGAGCATAGAGGGGGAAAAGTCCCAGCCCCCTCTGGAGATGCCTCTGGAGAGAACCAGAGAGGGACAACAGAAGCCTGTGCCCGGACAGTGCAAAGGCAGGCTGACAGGCATAATTACTACCCCAAAACGGACTTAATTAAAACAAAAGCAAAAAAGGATTTTAAATTTTATTCTCTTGCTAACTGGAAGTGTGGTGAGAAATGGCAAACTACAGAGGACCACTCTGACCTCCCACTCCCTTCCTGCCCCGTTTATAAGAGCCACCTCCTCTTCTGTCTGCATACTGTTTGCTCCCTTCCAGCCACCAACTGCCCCCCACCGCCAGGTGTTCTAACGACTGCTGTACCATCACCGCTGTATCCAGCCTAAAATCTCTGGCACTCTGCTGGTGCTGGATGGTCACTGGGGCTCCGAGACTGACCAGTCGGAAGAGATCTCAGAGGAAACTGAGGCACAGAAAGGGCAGTGACTGGCTCAGACAGACCCTGTTTTTCCACAGCAGGAACATCGGCTTCCTGAATCTGCACAGCGTGGTGGGATTCAAGTCACTTCCACCAAACACAATTTTCTTAGCTTGCAAGGGCAGCGCATTTCTGCTAGTAGGAGCATCCAGAACACCACTTCTTAAACTAGCGTGTGTAAAAGTCACCGGACAGCTTTTACCACACAGATTCCTCGGCCCCAGCCTCAGAGACTCTGATTCCGTCTGTCCCGGGCAGGGCCTGGGATTCTGCATTTCTAACCAGCACCAGGAAGTCCTGATGCTGCTGCTCCACGGACCACACCGGGATCACTCCTGACCTCAAACCTCGCAGACCTTACCTACCGCGTTAGTTAGGGTGAAGGCGAAACTGTTGCAACAAAACGACGTCAGGACGCAGCAGCCTAAGGGGGTCAGGTGGGCCGTGCCCCCAACGTCACCCAAGTTCCTGGCCAGCAGGGCGTCTCCTGCACCCTCAGCAGTGCCTTCCAGGGTTACCATTTCCAGCCAACAAGTGAGGAATCTCCTTTTAAGCAAGTGATGGGCAATTTGCCCTCATCACTTCAGCTCGTATTTCTCTAGCAAGAGCCCACGCACAAGGCGCCACCAAACCGCACGGGAGGATCAGGACATAGCCTGGCCCAGCGGCCACATGCCCAGTGGCCCCATGCCCAGTGACCACGCTGACGATGTGCACAGAGGGGCTGACGCCGTCAGGCCTAGCTGGGGGGGAGTTTGAACTTAGGTGACTCGTGGGAGACTGTCACAAGCCCGGGGAGAGCAGGATAGCGGAGTAACAGGGCTCTGGAGTCAGAGGCTCCGATGCATCCAGGTAAGTTGTGCAACATACCAGCCATGTGACCTGGGATGAATTACACACTGTCTCTGAGCCAAGGCCACCTCCTCTGTTGTAACAGCGCTGTGCTGGTTTCATAGGGAGCCCCAGTAAATTCCAGGCGTTCGGGTCCCATGGAGTGGGCCCAGGTTGATCTCAGACCAGATCAGGACATTAGTGGGTACACACTCTGCTCACTTTATTGTCAATTAAATGAACCCTCTTAGCCAGTTTTTAATTCCCACTTAGCAGTTGAGATGGATGAAGAAAACAAGTGCCATCGGATGGGAGTGGGCCAGGCAGACACCCTCGACTCCTGGCACCAGTCCACTGCAGACGACCCCGAGACGGGCTGGGCAGGAGAGCCTCTCAGTGGAGGAGGAGCAGGACCGAGGAAGCAGGTGGGGCGGCTGGAGCAGGGGGAGAGAGGTCAGGACTGCAATTGGCACTTCATCTAACAAGCATTTCCTGGGCAGCTTCCAGCACTGGGCTCCATGCTGGGAAAGGATCAGAAGTATGACCCCTGACCTCAGGGAGCCCCCTGTCTAGTGGGGAAGCCGAGGAGCAAATCAACAACCATGATTAAGCACAGGCGAGGGCTACGATCAAGGCGTGCGGGCGGGCGGGGGTCTGCAGACCCCACAGTCAGTCCAGGGCAGACAGCAGGCGAGCTGAGGAAGGACCCCAGGAGACAGTGTCCAGCCCGGGTCTGGGAGCAGGCTCCACCAGAGGGACGACAGAGTCGCCCTGCGGCCACTGTTGGCCAGGAGGGAGGCCGAGGGCGATGAGAGAGCACAGCTTGTTCTCTACGAGCAGGGCTGAGCTGCTGAAGCCGCCAAGGGAGAGTTTAGGCTTTTTCCTGAAGGTGACGGGAGCCACTGAAGGGTCCTGGACAGGCAGGAGACGTAAAGGCTGCTCTCCGGTCATGAGGAGAGAGGGCTGGAAGGAGGTGAGGTGGGAGGCCCACGAGGACGGGGTCACTGGAATCCAGGGGCTGGTTAGCACTGAGGCTGCCCAGCAGAGGCTCTGAGAGCTCGTCAAGGGGTGAAGTCACAGGATGGGGGCCTGAATGTCACCAGCACCACCGGCTAGTGAGTTCACTTCACAGACTCGAGAAGGAAAGGAATCGAGGCAAGTGCTGCCCACCGAGTCCAGACCCTGGGCCTCCTGCTCCCCACTGCCGTCTCCCCAGCCCCGGCTGTGTCTGTGAGGCTGGGAGGCGCCTTGATAAGGGAGGGCTGAGCTTCTTCCATTGGAATCGGAATCGCAAGCTGGCGCGTTCAACTTGGCCTCCGGTCTGGGCGGTTGGGCGGTGATCCCGCTGGGGAGCTGCCGGCACTGCGTGGCCAGGCTCATCCCCACAAGCGGAGGAGGTACTCGTAGCTGAGGAAGGTGACGGCGTTGACGGGAAAGGCGCGGGCACTGTTGATGGTGAGCCCCCTGAAGAAGACCCCCAGTCCCTCCTGCCGGGCGCTGCTGACTATGCAGTCCAGCACCCCCTGGTACGCCCTCTGCTTCAGCCCGGCCATCTGCATCCGGGCCTTGATCACGTCTAAGGGCGTGGCTGCGACCCAGGAGGTGATGCCGGCAAAGCCTCCTGCCACCAGCACAGTGGCGGAGCCTGGGGGAGAGGAAGCCCGGGGTGGGGGTCAGGCTGAGGAACAAGCACCCTCCCCCATCCCCAGCCTCCCTCCCCATCCTCCACTGCCCCGGCCAGCTCCCCTCCCCGACTCCTCTCTGTCCCCCACCCTCTCACGCCACTTCACTTACTGGGATTCTGGCCCTCCGGCGTGGACTGGCGACAGAGACATTCGTAGGTGATAAAATAGATTCCCACTGTGGGGGTGTCCCTCAGCGTCAGGGCCCAGGCTCCTCGGAACAGCCCCCGGGGCCCCTCCTCCTGGAAGATGGAGGCCGCACAGTGCACGGGCCCCCGGTACCGGGGTTGGGGGCTCCCCGGCTTCGCCCTCGGCTCTGTCTGGTTTTGTAGCCGGACTTTGATGAGGTCAAAAGGGGCCAGGCAGTAGGCCTGTAGGGAAAGAAGTGTGGAGGCCCGGGTGGGGCTGTGGGCGGGAACAGTCGGCTGATCTTAACGAGAAGGCAGTGGGCAGAGGGGCAGCATCTTCCTGTAGGATGTCACCAGCTCTGCCGCCAGCTCTCAGCTCTTGCAAGAGCAGCTGGGGACAGCCCAGGGCCACCTCCTTAGCAGGCCCCTGACAGCGAGCAGCACTGCCCTGTTCCTCGGGCAATAGCGCCAAACTTGCCTGGCATGCACATGGCACTTTGGGACAAGCCAGGATTGTTTTTCCAGGAGTGGGGGTAGGTCACTAGCCTCCCGAAAGTCAGGGATGAGCATCTGCAGGGCCTGGGTCTGAAGAAAGGGTTCAGTCCGTACCCATGAAACAGCAAAGGACGGACCCCTCCCCAGGGGTGAGTTGGTCACCTTGTTAATGGTGGGGACTGAGCTTCGTAGGGTCTCCCTCTTAGGGCCCCTGAGGGGGGCAAGCACTGGGCCAGCCCTTCCTGCCTCTCACAAACTCCCAGCCACTACTGTCCCAACAGAAGGTGGGGGACAGGGTAGCGTCTGCAGGTCCTAGAGCTCATCACCTGGCTGAGGCAGATGGGGACGAAGATTTGGGATAGTATTGGGACTGAGGGTGGGGGCTGGGGGGCTATGGAGGGAGGTTGGGGGAGGGGTGAGGTGTGGTCAGGGATGCAGCTAGGGCAAGGTGAGCTGTTAATGTTCAGGAGAGAAGTGAGGTCCAAGCTGAGGTTAACATATCATTTGGGGGCTTATGTATTTTTTCTCCCTCCCTTCCTTTCTTGCTTCCATGGAAGGTAGACAAGCTCAGCTCCCCAGCCTTGGAGAAGGCTGATGGCAGAGGAGGCTGGCATTGGCTCTGGCAGTGATCTTTAGAGGGTGGCAGGCCAAGTTTGCTTACTTCCTCCCCTGCAGGCAGGGCAGTGGGTGGGGACCCTCCCTGTGAGTGGGGCCCTAATGTCACCCTCTGGCGCCTGCAGGCAATGCCAAGCTGAGGGCTTCTCCAGGGGCCGTTCTCCTGAGCCCTGGGCTCCTGGCCGTGAGGAAATGGCTGGGCCAAAGGTGAGGTGGCAGGCAGGGTCTGGCTAGGGCCCCTCCCCTCCACATCTGGTACCCACAGGGGCAGTGGGGACATCAGACACTACAGCGCCATTTGACAGGGTCTGCCTTAGCCAAGCCAAAAGCAACTTTTGTGCACACAGAGGTTGTCAGTTCCTTCCCTGTGCTAACCAAAGAATCATTCTCGCCTCTTCCCCTCGTCTTTCCCCTAAAACTCATTTTCTGCTCCAAGACCCTGTTAAACCGAAGCCATGGACTCCAGTTGGTCCCTGGACCCAGTCCCCAACAGTGACCCCACAGACCCCACTTCTACTATCTGTTCTGCTTTCCAGAGAGCTGGAGAGGAGGGTGACTTAGGACCTGGGCCTGGCTGGGCCTGAGTCAGGCTGCTTGGCCTGGGGGCTCAGTTTTCTTCCTTGTTTTTGTGGGGTGCCAGCTCTCGGGGCCTGGGAAATACGCAGGCATGCATCGTGTACAGGAAGGGGCAGGAGAAGAGCCAGGACCTTCGGGGTCTCATGAATCATTAATTGGCTTGAGTGAGCCTCCTGACTCTGTCCTTTGTCCTTGCTCTCTGCTCCGTGAAGTGTGTCAGCAGTATCAGAGCAGGTGCCAAATAGAGGGGGGCCTAAGGCACCCAGCTGGGGTGTGGAACGGAGCCAGGCATGCGTCTCTCCGCCTCTATGCTCAGGCCCCCATTCAGCTGGGATTCTCCCTGGTGCCTGGAGGCCCTCTTCCCTCCACCCCACTCCTCAGAAGCTGGTACTCAAGTGCTGAGAACAAAGACCAAAAGGAAAAGATGGGAGTGACTTAATGATCAATGCCCTGGGCCTCTCCCAGCTCACAGATCACCGCCACCCAGAAGCTGCAGGCAGAGGGGCTGAGCAGGGCAGAGGCTAGGCGAGTGCCAGGACCACATCATGACCAGAGGGCTTGGGCTCAGAGCTCTGTGGGGGCTGTCAGTTCCATGGCGTTCTCTTGGCACCAACCCCTCGCTGACCTGTCTGCCTTTTGCCCGCTCTGTTCTGCATGACTCTCTGCTCCAGGCCTGCAGCCTGGAAGGCCACAGCTCAGCCTGGCCAGGTCATTGGGAGCAGCCAGGAGCTGGCCATTTCCCCACAGTTCCTCAGGTTCTGCCTAGGGAAGGCGTGGGGTCTGCAGCTGTGGATCACCAGAGGGGGCTGGGAGGGGAAATAGGGAACTGACCATTATTGCGTCCGTGTGTGTGTGCGCGTGCACATGAGCGTGCACACTCCCACAACGCCCTCACCTGCAGGAACCCCGAGGTGCAGCCGGCTACAAAGATGTGCATGTAGCTGGGCGGCTGGGCCCGCCGCTGCTGGTGGGAGGTTGCTGTGAGTGCCAGCAGGGTGTTGCTGTAGACCCCGAACAGGACGGAGTTGACCACGGCAATGCTCACGATGGGGAAGCTCATTCCCTTGAAGAAGCCCAGGAGCTGCAGAGAGATGACGCTAGAGCAGTTGGGGGGCTGTGGGGGCCTGGCTTTTGCCCTTTCCAGCCCTGGCAGGGCCTCCTCTGGCTGGAAACCACTCCTGAGCCTGGCCACGGGGAGGTGGGCACGGACCGAGGCTGAGGATGGCCTCAGCTCCACTCTGGAGGCACTAAGCTACCACCCCACCCCCCATTGCACCAGACTTGGGTCTTCTCTCTTCCAGGGGCAGAGCCCTGCCAAGGGATGGGGGGAGAAGGAGCTGGAGCTGACTGCCCTTGATGCCTCCCACCCAAAGCCCCATGGAAGCAGGCCACCCACCGACTCATGGCGGTAAGTCTTGACCATACAATCGACGATGCCGTGGTATGTGGTCTGGGTCTGCAGCCGCACCTGGACAGGGAGGACAGAGCTGGCGGGCAGGCTGCGCTCCCTCTGCCCCTTTGAGCAGGATGCCAGCAGGGCAGGAGATGGGGGAAAGGTCAGGGGGGAAAGGACTCATCAGCTGGTCCCTGCTCTCAGGGCGCCCTGATGTTCGGTTCAGGAGACATTTTTCATTCGTGGGGTGCCTCCCCTAGCCTCACCTTTACAGTGTCAAAGGGGTGTCCCAGGACCAAGCCCACAGCTCCTGTGGTGACAAGAAGGTGCTATGAGTGAGGGCCTCATGCCAGGCCAAGGAAACAAGTCTGTGCCGAGAGGAAAGGGGGATTCAGGCAGGAGGAGAGAGACCCCTGAGACCCAGCTTCCTGCCAGACTCCAGAGAAACTCCAGCTGGCCCCCTTGCACCCTGCTCCATACATGGCACTGGGCTAGGAAGGCATGGGGACAAGGGGACAACGGGAGGGAGCCCCGCCCCTGCCTGGAGGATGCACATGCAGAAGGGAGGAGCCAACCGCAGACACACGGCATCGGCATCGTCGCTGGGAGCCCACCCCCAAGCGCCTTGCTGGCTTATCTGACGTGGGACTCTGGAACAATCTCCAACGCTCCGGCTCCCTCCCAGCTTTACCCCTTCCTTCCTTCAACTCACAACTGCTGTGGAGTGTGGGGCCTTGATCCAGACCAGGCCCTGCCCTCCTGATGCTCTGCCCCATCAGCCTGCAGGGCAGAGCGGGGGTGGGGAACTCAGGGGAGTCTTGCTGGTACCAGGGGGGAGGGTCTGGCTCCCCCGCTATCTCCCCACTTCCTGGTCTTGCCCTCCATAGCACAGGCTGGTGTGGTCCTGGAACTCTGGGCAAGATCGAATCCCCAGGAGGTAGGTTCAGAATGTCCCTCTCTTTCTCCTAAGAGAAATGTCACGCAGAAGCAGGCTCTGGGACTGGGCGTGCAGCCCATTGCCAGGCAGGGCAGAGGCCCAAAGGACAGCAGGTGGGGTCAAAGGTGAATTCCTTTCTGAGCCGCACAGGGTGGGCCAGGAGAGTGGGGTTCGAGGTGCAGGTGCTGTGGGTGGACAGAGCTCACCTTGGCTCCCCCTCTCTGCAGATGTCTGCAGCGTGGCCTTGGGACGCAGCCAGCACCCACGCACCTGCCCCTCCCTCCCCCTTCCCCTAGGAGGCTCAGGATGGCTGGCTCTGGGCCTCCAGGGCACCAGGACTTTGGCCTCAACTATGTCACCCATGTTACCTATGTCTCAGGAAGGGACCCACCCTTGGGGATAATGTGACAGAAGGAAGAAAAATGTCTCACCGGAGATCCAGCCGGCCACAAATTCCTCCACTGGCATTGTCAGGCGGGGCGGGAGCTGGTGACTCCAGCAGAGGAAGTGCAGGTCAAAGTGAAATTCCACCCTCTCCCTCCCGAGGACCCCGGACTAATAACCTCGCACTAATGTTTAACCGTGGGGGGAGGGTGCGCAGTGGCCTGGGGCCCAGGAGAGAGGAGCGAGCCAACACGAGTGGCCCTGACAGGCCAGGGGAGGTGTGCAGAGTGTGAATCTCATGGGGCAGGGACGACGGCCCACAGCGATCTGACCCCCCTGCCGGCCAACGACGGCCTTGCAGTGTGACCAGGCAGGGCAGCGGGCCCAGGCCCGGGTCGGGCCCTCCAGGGCTGCCTCAGGCAGCAAAGGTTTAAGGAGTCTGCTCGTTGAAGGCCCTGCCTGTCCAGCCCAGCCCGGCCCGCGCTCCGATTCGTCCCCACAGCTCCACGCACCAGGTGGCCCGCCCGCCCCGGGACAGGCAGAGAGGCCAGCGAGAAGGAGCATGGCCACCAGGGGGCAGGCCTAGCCCGCGGTCGCCTGGGCACTGGGGAACCGCCCCAGTCGACAGGGTGGGAACAACTGTGACTCACTAGGCCTGAAGCCCGGCCCTCTCCCCAGACTGTTTACCAAGACAACCGATGGGAGTCACAAACAGCCTCCCTTGGCCTCCTCTTCTCCGAGCCTTTTCCCAGGGGAAAGCTGGGGATGTGGCGTGTATAAAGAGCGGTGAGTCTCTCCGTTTGGGGGTGACCAGGCTGTGACTGCCCATTTCGCTTTGGACAACTACAGCCCACAGCAACAAGGCAGGACCTGAATCCTTCTCCCTGGAGGATGGGGGTGGAGGGTGGGCGTGGGCAAAGAGGAGGGGGTCCTTCTTTTGAGGGCACAGAGATCCAGTGCTCAGGCACCACTGCCCGAAGAAATCTGTGAAGGTCTCAAATGCGGGTGCCACCCTTTGGCAATGCCCTTGACCCCTCCCTTTCTCTCACACCTCACCTAATATATATATATATATTTTTTTTGGTGAGGAAGACCAGCCCTGAGCTAACATCTGACGCCAATCCTCCTCTTTTTGATTTTTTTTTGCTGAGGAAGATTGGCCTTGAGCTAACATCTGTCCCCATTTTCCTCCACTTTATATGGGACGCCACCACAGCATGGCTCGACAAGCAGTGCGTTGGTGCGCGCCCAGGATCCGAACCGGTGAACCCCGGGCTGCTGCAGCAGAGCATGCGCACTTAACCGCTTGTGCCACCAGGCCGGCCCCCTCACCTAATATTAATATTACCTTCAAAGCAGATCCTGAATCCAACCACTCCTTGCCTCCTCCACCGCTACAGCCCTGGCCCAAGCCACCATCACCCCCACTAGGATTCCTGCCCTTGACTGGCCTCTGGCCTCTACTCTTGCCCGCTCCCTCTCAGTTCTCCACACAGCAGCCAGAGCGATGCAGTTGAAACCTAAGTCAGACCACGTCTCTCCCCTGCTCCACACCCTGCAATGGCCCCATCATACTCAGAGTCCAAACCAAAGTCCTTCCTCGGCTCTGGGAGCCCTCACACTGCCGCCCCACACTCCTCTGACCTCGTCTCTGGCCACCCCCTTGCTCCCTCTGCTCAAACCACCCTGGCTTCTTCTTCAAATTGGCTCTTGCCTCTGGGCCTTCACACTGGCTGTTCCTTCTTCCTGGTGGCCTCCTCTAGCCTGGGCTCAAATGTGACCCATGCGGAGAGCCCCCCGTGATTGTCTCATTGGATATTGCCATCTGCTCTGCCCGCCCTGCATTCCTGGTGCCCCTTCTCTGGCTTTATCTTGTCTTTCTCCCATTCGCGCATCACCTTCTGACACAGTGCAGTTAACGTGTCTGTCTGGCCAGGGATCTCTGGCTGTTCTGTTTACTAAAGTGGCACAGAGTAGGCACCAATAAGTACTTGTTGAAAGGATGAACGAGTGGACAAGTCAGGGAGCAGTATTAGCGGGCGGGCCTGCAGCCAGCCCTGGGGCTCCAGTCCTCTCTCCCCAAAGACCCCAGAGAATGTCAAGGCCCAACGACACCCCTGACCTGCTCCTCCAGCTCTTGGTGCAGCTCTGATTCCCCTCAGATGCCCGAGGGGCAGTCCTGTTCACCCTTCTCCTCTGCCACTGAGGCCAAAGCAGAACCCATCCACTCCACCACTTTCTTGTGGGTGGACGGGTTCTAGAAAGCAGGCCTTCATCTCCAATCTCCCCTTGGATCTGCCCAGAGCTCCTTGGGGTTCCCCAAAGACCTTCCTGAGCACTGGCCTCTCGAGGGTTGGGCCGCAGTCCTACTTCTGCTGCTAGTTCTCTTCCCAGTGATCTCGGGCAATCCCTCTGTGGGCCTTGGGGTCCTTCACTGCTTGCAAAAGTAGGGGACCAGCTCAGCTGAGTGCTAGTCTAAGATATCTTGGCTCTAAAGGCCTGTGGGCCACCTCCCCCACTTCAGAACGGACCCCACTCTCTTCTCTAATCCCACCACACCACCCCAGTTCAAGGGAGACCCATTACCACTCCCCAGGGCCTTGCAGAAGGGCAGCCCCACCCCTGGCTAGCCCTTCTCCAGTCCTCCTGCATGTTCCACCAGGTTAACCCTCAGCCTGGCAGAGCAGAACTCTGATCTTGTCAGTCTCTAGCTCACAACCTCCAAAATGTCCTCACTGCCTGCCAAACCCACCACACCCCCCTCGCCGTGGGGTTCACCACCCCCACTGGGTGCCATCCCCCTTCCCAGCCTCACCTGCCGTGGTCTGACTGCCCCGGGCTTCCCTGGGGTCCTAACCATGCTCCCACAGCTCCTGATGCCCAGAAGGCCTTCAGGAATCTCCTCCAGTGCCCCTCCTCGCCGGACCTAGAGTGCCAGGCTCCTTACCACCACCACACAGACTGCCAGACGTCAGCTTTGCTTTTTAACCTTTCTGATCCTGTTTTCTTGTCATAAAATGGAGATATAAGACTTACCTCTTGTTGTATTATAAAGATTAAAGCACTTAGAAAAAGTTTGGCACGTTATATGTGCTCCACAAACGGCAGCTACTGTTACTCCTATTTCTACTCACAGGGTCCCCGAGCTAATATCTGTTGCCAATCTTCCCCTATTTTGTATGTGGGACGCCACCACAGCATGGCAGCATATAGGTCTGCGCCCGGGATCCGAACCCACCAACCCTGGGCCACCAAAGTGAAGCACACGAAGTTAACCAGCAGGCCACTGGGCCAGACCTGTAGTTTTAAACATGCATTTCTCCTAGGCTTCCTTCTCTCTCCTCTCTCCCTCCATTCTCAATTAAACCAGAACATTAGCCTCCTGAGGGGTGTGCCGTGTCTCACCAGGTCTCCATCCCCCGCCCTAGCCTGGGCCCCACATCCTATAAGCACTCAACAATACAGAACTGTGTTCCCAGCTGGTTGAGGGAGGACACCGAGCCATTGTGTCCTGGGCTGAGGGTCCCAGAGCTGAGAACCCAGAGGGAGATGCCTGTTCCCACTGCACACTCTTCTCTCCAGCCCACATCTGAGCTTCTTTGAGTTCTTAGATCACACCAGGAAGGAAGACATGATGTAATGAGCTCAGTTCTGGGGCAGTATGGGTCCTGGAGGGCAGGCAAAGGGCTCTTTCAAATACTGAGGAAACTTGGACTCAGTTAGGAGCTGGAGCTGCCTTCCAATGCAAGAGAATTGGGGCACTTCCCCCTTCCCCACATCCCTGGTCCTCATGACCCAGCCCATTGTTGTCACTTGGAACAACCTCTGATTCCTCTGGCTCAGGAAGGCGCCCACGGACCTGTTTTTCTCCTTGAGATGTACACCTCAGGCACACACAGGCTGGAGTTGCCAGGACATGTTGGTGACGTGACTCTGGGGACCGGTGGGTTCACATCTGCCTCTTCAGGGCCCCACTATTCTTCCCCACCTGGGAATATTCTCAAGGTCTCCGAGGCTGTGTGTCTAAGATAGCTAGGGCTCATGTGACTGCTCCCTGGAAAAACAAGTGCAGCCTGGGTTTCTGACATATATTTGAGGGTTCTTGGAGGTTATGGAGTCCTCCCCATTTTACAGATGAGGAAACTGAGGCCAGAGGGGAAGGGGCTTGTCCAGGATGAGTCAGGACAGGGACACAGTCTCCTGACCACAGCAGCGAGCCTATCACCCCCACAGCCCTGGGGGCGCCGCAGTACAGGCCGCTGCTGCGTCACCTTCGCCTGGCGCCCAGCTCAGTGTGGATCCCTAACACATCCCGGGAAGCATCTCCATTTTACGGGTGAGGGGACCAGCCCCAAGTCACACGCGAGTGAGTTCCAGAGCTTGCACCCCTATCCCTGATTGCCTTGAACCCTTGCCACACCCTGTTAAAGGCCATCATTGGGGGGCCTGTGTGTGGGGGCCATCGCCCTGGGTCACTCCGGTTGGTGGCGGGTCCGTTTCGTAGCGCCACCATCCCACAGGCGTTACCGGAGGCAGGAGGCGAGCCCCCGCGCGTCCAGGGCATGCGCGGGCCCGCGGGGGGCGTGAGCGCGCGGGCGCGGGCAGGGCGCGTGCGCGGCGGCCCCGGGCTCCGATTGGCTCCCGCGGGCGAGGGAGGCGGGGCCGTGCGCGCCGCGCTTCCTCCTCCCCAGCTTCCGCGTCGCAGTCTTGGGAGCTGGAGCCCGAGTCGGAGCCGGCGGGCGCGGATCTGGAGTGAGGGGTCGCAGTCGGGGCAGGAGCCTGGGCTGAGGCGGCGGGCGCTGAGTCCCTGCGAGGTGAGAGCGCGATGGCGCCCTGCGCGGCCTCCCGCCCTGGATGGGGGTGCGCCGTGCCCTGCCCGCATCCCGGCAAGCCGAGTTCCGACCCCGCTGGTGACCACCACGGCCCTGACCCCTCCCACCAGCCGTGACCTCGAATCGGCTGAGGACCCCCACCCCCATCCCCACCCCGCTAGTCTGCACACCAGTGCCTTCCGCTGCGTTGTTCACCTTCGCAGATCGGCCCGGGACCCCCCTCCCTCCTTCACCCTCCCATCCCTGGACCCCCAGTAACTGCTCCTTCGCTTTCCCTCTGCAGATGGACGGGACAGAAGGCAATGCCGAGCAGCCCGACTCCGCTGAGCGGTCCCATCGAAGCAGCGTGTCCTCCGTGGGAGCACGAGGTGGGTCCTTGTCCCCATCTCCTCCCCACCATACCCTCCTGGGGCCCCAGCCCTGGGGAAGTGCCCCTGGCTTGTCATGTCTTTCATTGAAGAGAACTTTATGTATTAATTAACAAATAAGGTATGTTGAGGTGTGGAGAAGTGACAGAAGTCATTCAGAGGACCTAGGCTCTGTCACTAGGTGCTGACCAAGTTGGGGACTCTTGAATCTCTCTTTCCTTCTAGGTGAAACAAGCATGTCTCACCTAGCTGAAATTCAGATGGAATCTCATGAATGAAAAGTGACACACTCACTTTCTTTGTTTGGTTTGTTTCTCACAAACAGCCTTTTGAAAGCAAGGATAATTGTCTTCATTTTACAGGAAGCAAATTGGGCCCTAGAGAGGTTAAGTCACAGGGTACTGGAGCCTTCTGTGCCTCAGTTTCCCCTGCCTGAAAAGTGGGTCTGCATGTCAGCTTCCTGGAGATTATTTCATGATCTCTCAAGAAGGTAGCTGTTGGAGCAGAACAGACTGGGGATCCAGAAAGCACCTTCACTTGTATTGATGATAAAGTCTGCCCTGGCCTTTGACAGGCTGCTCCTCATCTGATTCACAGCCACTCTTTGAGGGGAGGGGTCTTAGGCCTGCTCTACAGATGAGGCATCTGACACACTGACTTGCCAAAGTCAGCCAGCTAGCCAGGGCCAGGCTAGGACTGGAACCCGAGCACGCTGGCCTGCAAGCTCAATGCTCTTTCACAGCACCTGCGCGTCCAGGCATGGGGGGTGAAGCTGGTTGCTCCTCCAATGGTCTCCCTTTGGCCCTGGGCTCTGAATAGGAATCCCACAGGCTGTCACAAGGAATCGCCCAGCTTTTTGGGTTGTACTTCTCCTGGCCTGTTTAAGACTATCCTGAAAGGCCACGCTATTGAGTCCTGAGGCTTGAAGTGTCCTCCGGAAGCTGAGTCCTGGAACTTGCTTTACCCTGGGAGGACCTTAGGAATCCTGTCTCCATTTTAGCCTGGGCCAGAGAGAGGCAGCGATCTGCCTAGGGATAACAGTGGGTCACCAGCTCGCCCCCGTCCCAGCCTGGCAGACTAACTGCTGTAACCCCAGGATGGGGCTGGCCTGTCTCTGCCTCAGTCCCCACCTGGGCAATGTTCTCCTTCAGGGAGGAAGCACAGCAGAGTCCTTGGGGCTGCCAGGGGTGTGTGGGGGGGGGATATGGTGGCCAACTGTAATTTGAACTTTTGGGGGTTAGGGCCGGGCCAGAGTTGCTGGGTTTCTGGGTAGTTTGAGGGTCTTGAGAAAGTCCTAACAGACAGCAGTCTTCACAGGGTTCTTTGAGGACACTGGATCTCTCCCTCTCGAGTGTAGCCTTGGTCACCCCGAGGGGTATAGGTTGGGGGCTCCAGCCCCAGTGGAGGGTGGAGGGTGCCTGGTCGGTATCCTTGTGCCTGGGCGGTGGGCCCAGCTGACCCTGCCTGGCCTCTATTGCAGCAGCTGACGTGTTGGTATACTTGGCGGATGACAGGGTAGTGCCCCTGGCCGTGGAGAACCTGCCCTCACTCAGTGCCCACGAGCTGCACCGCGCTGTCCGAGAGTTCCTACAGCTCCCAGACATCGCCCTGGAGGCCTTCGCACTCTGGCTTGTCTCCCCTCTGCTGGGTAAGGCTTGGCAGTGAGAAGCCAAGGTGGGAGGGTTGGAAGGGGGCTGACCAGTGGGCAGGGAGGGGGCAGCTTCTGGAACCTGTGGCCACTCTACATCAGAGGAAGATAGGACTTGTGTGTGTCCTGGAGCTGTCCACAGCTTTCAGGACCCAGAGCCCTGAGACGATGCCTGACCCCTCTGCCCCTTCTTTCTGCTGGTGGCAGAGGAGGGGCCGAGCCTGCCCCTCAGCCTCAGTGATACTGGCGCCTGGGACATCAGGGGGAACAGGACTGGGGGACAGGGAGGAAAGGGGTCTGCATTCACTGAGCACATGGTCTGTGCCACAACCTGAGCTGGCCTTTCACGAGCAAAATTTCGCCTTATGCCCGTGGCTCAGCCCTGTCTTGCGGATGAAGAAACTGAGGTTTGGAGAGGTGGGACCAGTGAGTGGTAGGACCGAGATCAGAACAGAAGCCTGGAGCAGCCACCCCTGAGGATGAGGCTTTTCTTGGGGGTAGGGAGAGCAGAACGCGTGGGAATCCGATTTTTCTGGTTTCTGGCCCGGTGACCACTGTGTCCTGCCCTTTCAGGCTGAGATCCCATGGCGGGGCTGGAGTGGGAGTGGGGGCCGTGGCTCTCCAGACCCTCAGGCCTAGGGGAGGGGGAGGGCGGGAGCTCCCTGGGGCCTCTGAATAGGGCCTCTAGCCTGCTGGCTTGGACAGGAAGGGGGCCAGGGGAGAGGATGCTCCAGTTGGTGCCAGGACCAGACGTGTTTTCTGAGCTTAAATGTTCTCCTCCCTCATAGAGGAATAGGGGCAAGAAGGGGGTGACTGGTCCCTGGAGCCCCTAGTGGTTCCCTCCTCTCCCGAGGCCCTTGGGGTTTGTGCCTCCAGCCTGGGGGGAGGATGCTGGCTGGTTTGGTGGGAGCGGGAGCGCCTGTCCTCCCACCCCCGCCCGCCAGTTGGAGCTTCCTGCCCAGCTGCTGCTCTCACCCACCTTTTTCCTGCTGACCGGCCTCCTCCGGCCGCTCTCCACTCAGCTCAGCTACACCCCCCTCCACCCTCCAGGCTGACGGTCGGGACTGTGGGCCCGTTGGCTTGTGTCTTTGGAAAGCTGGGGGTGGTGTTCCGTGTGGCCGGCCTTGTGCTGCCTCAGGCTCCCTGGGTAGTCTGTTTTCTCCTCCCACCTCCTCCGCCCCCGCTCCCTCCTCATCACTTTCCTGCTCCCCCCTCGCAAGAATGTGAATGGACTGCCTGTGTGGCCGGCCAGGTCACCCTGGGGCACTGCCTTGTCCAGGAGGAGGGTGGCTAGAGGCCCCAGCATGAAGTCACTGCCCACTTTGTTCCCAGGCTGGGTTCAGGAAGGCTGAAAGGCCACTTCAGCTTTGACTTGGGCCCCTCAGAACCCTTGGCTCCCCAGCCCCCCACCCCCCCCCAGTGGGTGACGCAGTGACAGATGCCCCAGGGCTGTGAGGCAGGGAGGCGTGCTGTCTGCTGGAGCAGCCCTTCAAGCTGGATGTTTGGGAGGGTTTGACCTTCCCAATGCCGTTGTCACTCTGCATGGAACACAGCTCCAGGGACTGTGAGTCTCACTAGGGTGACAGCCTCCAGGCAGGAAGGCCCCATCTGGAAGTGTGTGGGACCATGGGGTCAGCATGGTCCCGTTCTGATAATGAGAGTTCTCTGAGCTGCTGGGGCTCAGGGTTTCAGGCTGGTCGGGGCTGGGCGTAGGCAGAAAGAGGGGCACCCTTGCCCCACGTCCACCTCCCCCACAGTGTGTCCAGGGATCCCCACTAGTCAGTTATATCGTTCATCTCACAAGTACATGCAGAGCCCCCCCCTCATGCTGGGCAGCGATCTGGACACTGGGGTACAGTGGGGAACAGGACTGAAGGTGTCCCTGCTCTCAGGGACCTTGCAGTCCAAAGTGTGGTGCAGGAGGCTCGGCAGGCGAGCTCTGTTCCTGGTTTAGCCACTAATCTGGTGGCCTCGGCTGGGCACTGTCCCTCTTGGGGCTTCAGTTTCCCACGTGTAGAGTGGATGCCCTCCCAGCTCTGGTGACCTGTGAGTGTCCAGATGGAGAGAGTGTGCAAATGGCACATTCTCCTCCTGGGGAGTGGTGAGGCAGGGGTGGCGACAGACGGCTGTGGCCAAGAATCTAGGTTGGAGATGAGGGCTGCTGGGAAATTTGGATCAGAGAAGTGACAGGAGGAGAAAGGAGTGTGAAGCAGCTGAAGGCAGGATGGAAGAGGCTGTAGGCAGGGAGGGAGGCCATTGTGGAGGCTGTGGCTGCTGTTTGGGGTTCAGATTAGAGTCCACATGGAAACCCAAGGAGCAGAGACGAGGACCCTTGACATCAGGCTGGCAGGACAAGGCGCGCGGCCCTGTGATGCGAGAGAAGGGTTAGAAGGCAGGGGTAGCTGGTACCTGGCATGGATATGGCTGTTCCCCCTCCTACGCCCTGGCAGCCATCCTCATTCATCACTGGATGGCCTTGGAAATGGCCTCAGAGCTCTCAGACCAGCCACGGGCAGTGGTGACCAGCCATGGGCAGTGGTGCGTGAGATGAAACCACTTGGTCATTCCTGGCCTGGGGTGTTGAGTCATGGGGCCAGCTGACATCCCGGAGTTGAGGGGCCATGAGTAGTACACTCAGTCGTTCTGCTGATCCGTGGTGAGGGCCTGCGGCAGGCCAGGGGCACAGCAGTGAACAGACAGAACCGCTCCTGCCTGCATGGCACTCACTGGCTAGTGGGGGCCTGGACAGTGAGGTGATGTTAGCTAGTGGCAAACAAGTAAAAGCAACCAAATGAGGGTATAATTGGTGTGATAGGTGACAGGGAGGGGCTGCTTTAGTTAGGGGTCCAGGGAAGGTGACACTTGAACTGAGCTCCGAGCCAGCCAGCCACGTGAGGATCTGGGGGAAAGGTGTCTGAAGCAGGAGGAACAGCAAATGCAAAGGCCCTGAGGCACAAACAAGCTGGCAATGTTCAAGCAATTGAAGAAGGCCCATGTGGCAGGGGCAGAGTGGGAGAGGGAGCCAGAGAGGGAAATGAGGTGGGCGCTGGATGGCATGGTGCCTGTGGGCCGTGGAGGCAAGGAGCTTATAGGATGGACGGTCAACCGGAGCTCCCAGGGGAGGCCCAGGCTCTGGTAGGAGCAGGGAGAGCAGCCCCTCGGGTGTTGGGCCTTAGTTACCAGCTTCGGGCTCTGCTTCCTAATGGTAGTGCTGGGTCCCTGTGTACCACCCCGGCACCTTCTGTCTGCCGCAGCCTCTCAGCCCCAGCCCACCCTGGGCGCTGTAGGGAACAGTCAGACCAGCTCTGCCTGGAGCCTGGCCCCCTCTCACTTGCTGTGTGACTTTGGACAAGAAACTTAACCTCTGTGGGCCTCATTTTTCTCTCTTGGTGAAATGAGACTAGGATTATTGCAAGGCCAATGCCCAAAAACCGCTTGAAGTGGTTCTGGACCCTTAGTGCCTGCTCAGGTAACACTGGCCGTGACTGCCGTCGTCGCTGCTGCTGTTCGCGGGCGGCGGCTGCACCCGTCAGAGGCCGCGTGGGCCGCGTCCCCTCTCTCCCTGCAGAGGTGCAGCTGAAGCCCAAGCACCAGCCCTACAAGCTGGGCCGCCAGTGGCCGGAGCTGCTGCTGCGCTTCACCGACGCCCCGGACGACGACGTGGCCATGGGTCAGTGCTGCTGCCTGCGCGTCCCTGTCTCAGGGCCCACCTGGGCCGCACGTGGCGCTGTCCTGGCTGAGAGGCAGGGCCTGCCTCTCCCCCAGGCTCCTTCAGCCACTTGGGGCAGGGGAGGGAGCGATCCCTGAGGGGAGCCCAGGAGAGGGTGGGCTAGGGGGACAGCGAGCACATCAGATAAGCCGCGCCCCCCGCTCTCTGGACAGCCCTCGGGTTTTCTCAGATGTGGTGGGCTTGGACTGGGGCCTGGGGCCTGGGGCCTGGACCAGTTGGGAGAGGGCGGGGCTGGCTGAGCAGGTGGCCAGGCAGCGATTGCAGCCTCTCTCCCCAGATGAGCCTTCCCTGCAGTTCCGAAGGAATGTGTTTTTCCCAAGGCGGCGGGAGCTCCAGGTGAGGCGGCGAGGCCCAGGCAGTACTGCCCAGTCTGGGGCCCTGTGTCCAGCCTCCCCTTGTCCCTAGACTCCTGGACACTGGTGCCCCAACCCAGCTGAGCAGCACCCCCCTGCCCCCGCCCACAGATCCACGACGAGGAGGTCCTGCGGCTGCTCTATGAGGAGGCCAAGGGCAACGTGCTGGCCGCTCGGTACCCATGTGACATCGAGGACTGTGAGGCCCTGGGTGCCCTGGTGTGCCGTGTGCAGCTCGGGCCCTACCAGCCAGGTCAGCCCGCCGCCTGCACCCTGAGGTGAGGGCCAGTGTGACCTGACACGGGCATGGGTCGGGAGGGTGGCCCTGGAATCCTGCTCACAAGTGGTCTTGCAAGGTCCTGGAGTCAGGAGGCCTCAGCCCCAGGGCTGGTCCTGATGCTATGTGACCTTGACTGAGTCACCCAACCTCTCCGAGCCTCCTTTTCCTCCTCTGCTCTGGGCTGAGGGGCCTGGGCAGTGGGAGACTTGGGTGGAGTGACATCTGTGAGAGGAGCCCCAGATGTGCGTGAGCGTGGAGCCCAGCCTCCGTCTGAGGTCAGGAGGGAGTTGGGTTTGTTCTTTTGGGATCACATCCGGGAACTCACCAAATACTGACCCCCAGTCACCAGTGACAGTCGCAGACTCCAGGGATGAGGCCTCATTCCCCAGATGCTCCAGCATGCTGGCTCTGTGCGTCCCGCCTCCGTCTCAAGAAGCCGGGCTCGGGGCCGGCCCCGTGGCTTAGCGGTTAAGTGCGCACGCTCCACTACTGGCGGCCCGGGTTCAGATCCCGGGCGCACACCGACGCACAGCTTCTCCGGCCATGCTGAGGCTGCGTCCCACATACAGCAACTAGAAAGATGTGCAACTATGACATACAGCTATCTACTGGGGCTTTGGGGGAAAAAAGGAGGAGGATTGGCAATAGATGTTAGCTCAGAGCCGGTCTTCTTCAGCAAAAAAAGAGGAGGATTAGCATGGATGTTAGCTCAGGGCTGATCTTCCTCACAAAAAAAAAGAAGCCGGGCTCTTTGCCATGTGAATCAGCAGGGCCTCAGGTGGTGAGGATTGAGTCTGTCCCGGAAGCAGACCAAGCTGGCCTCTGACCTCCATAGACGATGATCCTGAGGTTTAGAGATAATTCCAGTGAAAGTGAACTTTCACCCCAGCCTGTTCCTAGACCCTGGGCTCCTCCTCCTGCAACCTTTGGGAGAGGATGTGCAGAGACAGGACCCTGGGCCGGGAGACTAACCCCTGCGACCCAGCGGGACCGCCCCGGGCTCAGTGGAGCCTGAGGGCTCCCAGCTGGGCTTGCTCAAGGCAGGTGGCCATGGGGCTGCTGGCCCTTGTGATGGGCATGTCTGTCCCTATTGCAAGTGACAGCAAACCGGCTCAAACTGTTTGGACTTGAAGGACTTTGTCAGCTCAAGTAACGGACAGGTCCAGGGGTGGTCGAGGTGCAGGAGCTCCAGCTAGGTCCCCAGACCCCTGTCCTGTTCTCCTTGCCCAGCCTTGTGTCCTCTGGGCCAGCGTGCACTCAGGCAGGCTCTGGCCTCGCAGTGGCCAGGGGGCCACAGCAGCTGCACGTTGGCAAGGAGAGGCCTCTTTCCTTACACGACGAGAGTCCTCAGACTCACTCCGATGACCGGGTGGCTGGGTCCCAGGTCCACCTACAGGGGACACAGTGGCCAGGGCGCTGATTGGCCGAGGCCCAGATCCTCCCTTGGGGCCCGCCACAAGCTGAGAGTGGGGACAGCTGGATTTCCAAATGACCAGTGAGAGCTGGTGCTGGAAGAAGGGATGTGGGGGGACAAATGACAAAGATGCCCACGGCAGCCCTGAGAAGGGTGAGCAGCCCCTGGATGCCCCTCCTCATGCCACCCTGCAGTTGGGCCCCTCCAGGCTAGCAGAGGTTCCTTCCTCGTGTCAACCCTCCAGCTGGGCCGCCACTCTTCCCCATGGCGTGCAGTGTTTGGTCCGCCAGAAGCCCCAGCAGGGACCCCTCTCCTCTTTGGTGAAAATGACAACCTCAACTTGTTTGATGCTAGGCACACACTAGCGCCCTTCCACGTGAGTAGGGATTAGTGTCCTTATTTTATACACAGGGAAACTGAGGCTCAGAGAGGGTGCTCACTGTGCAAAGACGGAGTGTCCAACTGCGGTTCACCTGGAATGGCCAGTGCACGGCCCACATAACCACAGGGCTGCCCAAGATGGGAAAACAGTGCGGTTCCGCCAGCATTCTTTCCTAGTTTGTGTGTGTGTGTGGTTGAAAATGCCCTTTCTTTCAAGAACCTGTGCTGATGGAGTGTAGGTTGGTGTTTTGTTTACTTTTTTTTTTTGTGAGGAAGATCAGCTCTGAACTAACATCCATGCCAATCCTCCTCTTTTTGCTGAGGAAGACTGGCCCTGGGCTAACATCTGTGCCCATCTTCCTCTACTTTATATGGGACGCCACCACAGGATGGCTTGACAAGCGGTGCCTCGGTGCGCGCCCGGGATCCGAACCTGGGCCGCCAGCAGCGGAGCGCGCGCACTTAACTGCTACGCGACGGGGCCGGCCCCTCTTTACATCTTTTTGGCAGAACAAAACATTGATAGCTCTAGGGCACTTGTACCAGTTTTTGGTTGTAAAATTCCCCTAGTTCAGAAACCAAACCTTCCTGACTCAGTGACGCAGACGTTGCTCTGAACCCCTCCTGCCACAGTCTGGCTCTGGGGTGGGACTCTTATCTGGTTTCCGCTCTTATCTTGGCCTCCCGACGTTTCCTTCAGGACTTTCGCCAGCCAAGCGTGCTGCTGGAAATGTGGCGGTGGGATCCTTGGCCTGCCCTCCCCCGTGAGGGTCCCCGCACCCTGAGGACCTCGGCGCGTCTGGCCAGCCCCCAGCCACAGGGCCCCTCACGCTGCGCATCCATCTTCCTTCCTCCACAGGGAGAAGCTGGACTCCTTCCTCCCTGCCCACCTCTGTAAGCGGGGCCACGGGCTCTTCGCTGCGCTCCGGGGCCGTGGGGCCAAGGCTGGGCTGGGCGAGCAGGGGCTGCTGAACGCCTACCGCAAGGTGAAGGAAGCGGTCGGCGAGCATGAGGCCTCCCTGAGCAGCTACTACCGCGCCTACCTCCTCAAGTGCCACGAGCTGCCCTTCTACGGGTGAGCAGCTCCCTGGCTGCCGTCCTGGCAGCCACAGCCTTGGGTCTCCTCTGTCCCCTTCCCTTGACAGCCCAACAGTCTGTCTGGCGTCTGCTAGCGCGGCCAGCCGTGAGCCCATCTTGGCCCCAGCTGAGCTCCGTCCCGAGGTGTGTGTTGATGTCAGCACCTCAGGCCCCACGGGTCCCAAGTTGGACACTTGTCCTCCCCTTCTTCCTGTCACAGGCCAGGACACCCCAGACAGGTCCGCTCCTTTACCTGTCACAGTCACTTGATCAGTGGACCTGCTGACCTTCCTTGCAGCCAGCTCTTTCGTTCACACTGTCCAGCCCGCAGCCCTTGTGTACCTACTGTGTGCCCGCACTCTAGGCGCTGGCGACACCTCACTGAGCAAAAAGACCGTGACCCCTGCCTGGTGAAGCCAACGTTTTAGTGGAGAGGGAGGCAGTGAGCCATAGAAGTAGAGAACAGACTACAGGTGGGCAGGGGCAGCAGCCAGGCGACCAGTGAGGACAGTGTGACAACACTCTGAAGGGGTGATGTGGCTCAGGGCAGATGTGATGACATAGGAGGTGAGGCATGGTCAGAGTCCGGAGACGTTGAGGGTGGAGTCAACAGAATTTGCTAGATAGATGTGCAGTAGAAGAGGTGAAGGAGAGGAGGTAGAGAGGACTCCAGGTTTCTGGCCTGAGCAGCTGGAGGATCGCGTTGTCATCAGCTGAGATGAGACCGTGCGGGGTGGAGCGGGTCAGGGAAGGTCGGCTGTGTGGTTTTGGACGTGTTGATTTTGGGTTACTCGCTAGATACCCAGGTGGCGATTCCAAGTGGGTGTTTGGGTTTCTGAGTCTGGAGTTGGGTGGTAATTGGTGAGTCTTCAGCACGTAGATGGAGTTTGAAACTGGGAACCCTAAGAGATGGCCAAGGAGGCGAGTGTGGACCAGGTGAGAGGAGGACCCCGGCCAGCAAGGCGGGAGGGTCTCGACAAGCCAGGCGAAGGGCGATGTTGAGGAGGAGTCACCCGGAGTTCCATGCTGCTGCTCAAGGTCAAGTTCAACGTGCCCTGTGTGGCTGGGAGTTGACCTTGGCTCCAGCGTCGTGGAGGTGGCAGTGGGTGCAGGAGAGTGAGAAACGGACTGAGACAGTGAGTGTGACCAGCTCTTCCAAGGAGCCGCGCTGTGAGATGGAGTCGAGGGGGAGCAGCAGTTGTCGGGACAAAAGGTGTTGCTTTTTCTGATGGGCGGGATGTGTGTGCTGACACACGGGATGACCCAGGAGAGAGGGACAAATTGAGATGAGAGTGGGCGAGCGGCCGCTCTCCTGGTTCCTGCAGTTGCCCCGGTGAAGTAGGAGTCCAGTCGCAGCCATCCCTGAGTCCGTAGAAGTGCAGGTGCAGGGACAGGAGTGGGACTGCGGGCAGCGCTCGGGGGGCTGCTCCCGGGAGTTGAAGGTGGTGTGTGCTTGTCTCCCGGCCTGTCTGCTGTGCGGTGCAGGCAGTCACAGAGAGGAATTTAACCAGGGCTCCGGCTTAGCCAAGTGCAGGCAGGGAGAGGCCAGGGCGGCTGTAGGAATGGGAGAGGACATGGCGGGGCAGGAGGGAGAGGGTGACAGCCTGGTGGGTTGCTGTCCCAAGTCCACTGCCACCCCCTCCCCTGCTCAGTGTCAAGCCCTGAAGCTGCTTCCCTGGGCAGCCCCCGCCCCCTCATGGGCTCCAAGCAGGTGCAGCCTTGGCCCCATCTGCTGCTGAAGGGTCTTGGCCTGGTGGACAGGGGGCCGAGGGGCTCTCCCAGCCCTGATGTGGCCTGGCCACCTCCAGCAGCCTTAACCCCTGAGTCCTTGGGCTCCCGGTGGTTCCCTGCACGTAACTTGCTCTGTCCAACACCCCATTCACGCTCTTCCCTCTGCCTCTGGTGCCCGCCCTTCTCTGTGCCACCCAATTCCCCCTCCTGCCTGTTCAAACCCTCCTGTCCTGCACGCCCGTCTCAGATGCCACCATCTCCACAAAGCCTCCCTCTCACTCAGTTTCTCCCTCGCCTGGGCAAGTTTCCATTGAACCTCAGTCACCCGAACAGCTTCAGCTTCTCAGATGCCAGGGACAGGGCCTGGCCAGAGCATTTGCTGGAGGGCACAGGCTGACACCCCTTCCCCTCCCCAGGTGTGCCTTCTTCCACGGCGAGGTCGACAAGCCGGCTCAGAGCTTTTTGCACCGGGGCGGGCGAAAGCCAGTGGCTGTAGCCATCAGTCTGGAGGGCGTGCATGTCATTGACAGCAGGGAGAAGGTACCTCCAGCTCCTCCAGGGTGGGAACTGGGGGGCCTCAGTGGAGAGGAAGGGAGGCGGGGCCTTACCCAGGCCTTCCTGGTTCCTCTGGGCCTGTGGTTGGCTGGCGGGGGCAGGGCAGCATGGGTGGCCTATCTGGCCTCCTTCCCTCAGATGTCCCTGGGGCCTCCACCGTCATCTTGGGGGCTTCCCTGGGAGTGCTCTGGACCAGCTTTTCTGCCCAGTGTGCTAGGCACCGGGTGGCCAGGGCAACGGGAGGCTGCAACTGGGATTAACGCCTCTGAGTGGAGGAAATCTGCAGGGCCTGGCTCGAGACTAGCTGGTGGTTTTCTAGAAAAGCCCACGACTGGGAGCCCTCCTGGGCTGTGCCTTGGCTGCCTATGTAGAAGGTGGTGTTGGCAGTGGGGCAGCATCTCTGCACCTGGGCAGGAGTCCCTCCTAGACCAGCAAAACACTTTTGGGCAACTTGTGGTTGTCCCCAGAGAGGGATCCCAGCCCCTCCTGGGCATCTGTGCCCTGATGTGCCGGGCCCAACTGGGCCTCCTGCTGAGATGCTGCCTAGCTGATCTCAGGGAAAAGCTCTCCCCTCCCCGGCTGCCTCTTCCCCCACATGACCACCCCACATGGTTAGGGGTTCTCAGCCTCCTGAGACCACAGCCGCCTTTGAGGGTCTGATGAAAGCAGGGACTCCTCTCCTTAGAGAAACTCACACACAAACTTAAGACTCGGCCTTGGAGGTAAATAGCCTGGCCAGGTGTCCCTTGCTGGTGGTGCCCGAGTGGGATGGGGTAGGGGGTCAGGCCTCTGCCCAGCAGAGTCCAAACTCGGCATCTCACGCTGGCCAGCACGTCCTGCTGGGCCTGCGCTTCCAGGAGCTGTCGTGGGACCATACCTCCCCCGAGGAGGAGGAGTCTGTCCTGTGGCTGGAGTTCGACGGGGACAATGAGGGCACACCGGTCAACAAGCTCCTCAAGATCTACTCCAAGCAGGTAGTGGGGGGTGCGGCCCGTACCAGGGGAGGGTGGGCTCAGAGGGTCCCAGACAATTGGAGGCTCCAGGCTGCCTGGCAACGAGGTGAGGGCTGCTGACCAGGGGAGCTGACCTCTGCTGGCCGGGAGCCGCACCGGGGAGTCCGGAAGGCCTGGTCTGGAGATTCGGCATCAGGTGGCGACGGCAGCTGCATTCGGGCAGCTGTTCATGGAGGGTTCCCAGGGCTGGGCGACCTGCCCGCACTGGCTCCCTCTGTCCTCGAGGGAGCACCTGAGTCAGGTGCTGTCAGAGGAGGAGCAGGCATGGAAGGTTGAGGCCCCTCAGTGCCTTTGTTCCCCTCTCCATACATCCGGCCCCGGGTCTTCCCACCCCTGCCCCTTTTCCCACCCTGGTCAGGCAGAGGCCTCCCTCCAACCCTGCCCTTTCAGGACCATTCCTCGCTCCCCTCCTCTCTCAGCTCATAGACACGTTCCGGGGACTCCCATCTCCGAAGGCACACATCCCCTCCTGCCACCATCTTGGGTCTCTACACCCTTCACAGCCACACTTCTCTCTGTTGTTTCTACACCTCACCCCTTCGCAGCCAGCCTCCACCCCTGCACTCCCCATGCTCCAAGCCCCAACACCCAGTGCCCTCTGTCCCTGACTCAGCTTGACCACGGCTCCTGGAATCTCCTCTCCTGTGCCCTGTGGCAGCCCCTCTGACCTCCTGGCCTCTCTCCCCAGTCTCCTTTCCGGGGCCCCTCTCGAGGGATTCTCTCCCTGCCGTAGCATCCACGAGCTCTTCCCTCTCACGGCTTTGAATACTCGGCTCTCCCCACCTTTGTGCTGATGACTTCATAATTTTTACATCACTAGTGTGGACCTCTTTTTTTTTTTTTTTTTTTTGGTGAGGAAGATTAGCCCTGAGCTAACATCCAATGCCAATCCTCCCCGCCCCCCTTTTTTTTCCTGAGGAAGATTGGTCCTGGGCTAACATCTGTGCCCGTCTTCCTCTACTTTATGTGGGACGCTGCCACAGCATGGCGTGACAAGCCATGTGTTGGTGCACACCCGGGATCCGAACCTGCCAACCCCAGGCCACCTCAGAGGAGCACATGCACTTAACTGCTGCACCACCGGGCCGGCCCTGGACCTCTTTTTTAAGTAAATGTTTTATTGAATTAAAGGTACGGAAAAGTTCCCATATCCTAAATGTATAGCTCAACAAATTTTCCCAGAATAAACCCATGTAACACCTTTCAGATTAAGAAATAGAACCAGGACCCCAGAAGACCCCTCAAGCCCCCTCCCACTCCTGCTCCCCACCAAGGGACCCCCCCATCCTGACGTGTATCACGCAGAGTCACTCTGCCTGTTCTTGAACCTTGCAGCAGCGAGTTCCCACAGCGTGTTCCTTTCTGTCTAGTTTCTTCCTCTCAGCGTCGTGTTGGTGAGCTCCATCTTTCTGCAGGCAGCAGCAGTTCCATCCCCCACGATGCTCTCTGGTATTCCAGCGCCTGAATTTACCAGTCTTGACTTCTCCATCCTATTGCTAATGGGCACTCAGGTTTCCAGTTTGGGACTGTAGCAAACAGTGCTGCTCAGACCATTGCTGCGCAGCTCCTCTGTGTGCATGTGTGGGTGCACCCCCAGGAGAGGAATGGCTGGGCCACAGGTAGGCGTGTGCTCAGCTTTACTGAGCATGCTCAGAAGATACTGCCGGGTTTCCAAAGCCCTCGCCATTTGCACGCAGCTGTAGACAGAGCTCGTGGCTCCATACCCCCCTCCCCAGTTGGTATTGCTAGTGTTTTCCATTTTAGCCACGCTGGTGAGTGAGTGGTGGTATCTCCTTATGTTTCTTTCCTTTATTTTTTGGCTTCACTGAGGTATAATTTACAATAAAATGTACCCGTTTTAAGAGTGAGTTTTGACACATTTGCACACCCTCACAACCACCACCACCACCACCACAGTTACGCTGTGCAGCAGCTGTTTTGCTCTCGTGTATCTTCCTAGAGGCGAAACGTCTGCTCGCATCTTTTGCCCATTTTTATTGGCATTATTTCCATCACCCCTCAAATCTCCATATGGTCAAATCTCCATATGGTTTTAATTGGCATTTCCCCCCAACTACTGAGGTTGAATACCTTTTATGTATTTGTTCGCCATCGGGATATCCTGTTGGTTGAAGTCTTTGGCCCATTTTTCTTTGAGATTATCTTTTATTTTATTGTTTTGTACATCTCTCTTCTGATTTCAGACTCATCTCTTCACCTGCTTTTTTTTTTTGTGAGGAGATCAGCCCTGAGCTAACATCTGCCAATCCTCCTCTTTTTTTGCTGGGGAAGACTGGCCCTGGGCTAACATCCGTGCCCATCTTCCTCCGCTTTATATGGGACGCCGCCACAGCATGGCTCGCCAAGCAGCGCGTCAGGGCGCACCTGGGATCCAAACCGGCGAACCCTGGGCCGCCGCAGCGCACACACTTAACCATTTGCGCCACCGGGCCGGCCCCTTCACCTGCTTTTTGACACCTCCTCTTAGCTATCCCTAGAGTTGTGCTTTCTCCAGAGTTTCATATACATACATTTATCGTACCACTTCTACATGTTTACCCAAGAGAAATGAAGATATATATCCACACAAAGACTTGTATTCATATCTTCATAGCAGGTTCATTTGTAATACCAAAGAATTGGAAACAACACAAATGTCCATCAACTGGTGATGGATAAACAAATTGTGGTCTAACCCCACAGTGTGTATACTGTATGCAGCCTTTTGAGACTGGCTTCTTCCACTAAGCTTCAGGCTTTTGAGATTCCTCCATGTTGCGTGGTGTATCATGGGTTCATTCCTTTTTATTCTGGAAGAGTCTTCCGTTGTGTGGGTGTACTACAGGTTAGCTCTTCACCCACTGAAGGATGTTTGGGTTGTTTCCAGTTTGGGGCTTTTGTGACTAAAGCTGCTCTAAACACTCGTGTACAGGCTTTTGTGTGGGCATATGCATTCATTTCTCTTGTGTAAATACCTAGGAGTGGGATTGCTGGCTTGTATGATAAACATCTGATTGGCTTTATTAGAAACTGCCAACCTGTCTTCCACAGTGGCTCTACCATTTTGCATTCCCACCAGCCGAGTCCGAGAGTTCCGGTTGCTCCGTGTCCTTGCTCAGCACTTGGTATTGTCTGTTTTTCTCTGTTTGCCATTCTGATGACTGTACAGTCATGATATGTCATTGTGGTTTTAATTTGCATTTTCCTAATGACTGCTAATGTTGACCTTCTTTCCACGTGCTTATTTGCTACCCATATATCTTCTTTGGTGGAATGTCTGTTCAAGTCATTTGTTTTTTTATTGGGTTATGTGTTTTCTTATTGAGTTGTGAGAGTTCATTGTATAGTCTGCATACCAGTCCTTTATCAGGTACGTGTTTTGCAAATGTTTTCTTTCAGTCTATGACTTAACTTTTTATTTTCTTAACAACGTCTTTTGAAGAGATGTTTTTAAGTCTTCCACTCCAATTATTTGTGTATCTCCCTTTATTTGTCTTTGATTTCTTTCAGTAACATTTTATGGTTTTCAGCATACAAATCTTGTATATCTTGTGTTAGATTTATCCCTAAATGTTTTTCTTTTCTTTTCTTTCTTTCTTTCTTTTTTTTTTTTTTTGGTGCTACCATAGATGATACTGCTTTTAATTTCAATTTCCAGTTGTTCATTGTGGTATACAGAAATATACCTTTATATCCTGCAACCTTGTTAAACTCACTCACTAGTTCTGGTAGCTCTTTTGCAGATTCTTTGGGGTTTTCTCCGTAGACAGTTAGTAGTCTGTGAATAGTTGTATTCTGACTTACCCGTCCGTGTGCCTCTTCTTTGTATGGCCTGGTAGCCCTCACTTGGCCCTCCAGTACAGTGTTGCATAGTGTGAGCGGACATCCTTGACTTGCTTCTGACCTTGGGGGGAAGGTGTTCAGTCTTGCTCTAAATGAGTGTGGTGTTAGCTGTGTGTTTTTCATAGACGCCCTTCATTGGGTTGAGGAAGTTCCCTTCTATTCCTGGTTTGCTGAGTTTTATCTGGAATGGATATTTAATTTTGTCAAATGCGGCTAAGTTTTAATGGCAGGCTCCTGGCATCTCAGAAGCATCACACTGTGTTAGAGGAACTTAGAGGGCTTCCCTGTTGTGATCGGAGCTCAGGACCCTCTGTCCCCCTGGCTGCCTACCTGCTCACCAGCCCACCCCCAGCTTGGTGGAGCTCCCTCAGCGAGAAAAGGGGGCAGCTGTGGAGAACAGGATGCTGGCTCTTCCTTCTGGGCCGGGGTGAGGTTTCCTGCCCATCTCCCCCTCCCCAGGGTAGGTTGTGTTGCTTCGGAGAGGCCTTGGGTCACACTGTGGGTGGACAGACACCGGCCACATCTCCCTCACCATCTCCATCACTGAGGGGCTACCCCCGGGCCTCTGACCCTGCTCCCCCAGTGGGTTCTCTTCTTGGGAGCACAAGGCTGGCACTCTGTCCATCTCGGGCCCTGCTGTATCCCATTGCCTACAGCAGCAGCTGGCCCAGGTGGGCAGTCAATAAATCTGTGTTGCCTGACTAAGGGACGCCACCCACTGACAGCTTTGTATCTGTGAATCTGTCCGCCGCCTGACGTCCCCATCATATGGTGCCCAGACTGTGTCCACTGACGTCTGGTCACTTTACCTTTTATGTCAATATGCATTATGCTTAAAATGTGTCGAGAAGGCATGACTTTTGAAGAATGCTTGCAGAGGGAGCCACCCACCCCCACCCCAGAGACCTCACCACCGCCTTCTTCATGGGCCTGCAGGTCCTTCTCAGCCAACACACACATGTGGGTCCTTCAGCCCGGGAAGCCCTGCCTGGGCCTTCTTCCTCCCTTCCTCGTCCTCTCCGTAGCAGCTGAGCTGCTTTCCCTGCCTGGCATGACTACTCCACCCACTGTGGTCAGCGTTCTGGGCTGTGCCTGCTGACTAGAATGCTCTTTCTTTCCCACCTCACCCCCCCAGACCTGGGACCCCTATTCATCCTCCAGGACTGACCTCTGAAGCCACCCAAATGGACGCCTCCCCTGCCCCGGCCCAGAGTACCTGCCCCCGCCTTGTGTAAATGGTGTTTGGTTCCTCATCTGCCTTCCCCACCAGAAGGCAGGGGACCGTGCGTCGGTTCATCTCGCTCTGCAGGGGTACAGGAAGGTGGGCGTGGGCTGTGGCTCACCCTCTGGGCCTCACCCCAGCCCCTCTCTCCTCCCCAGGCCGAACTGATGAGCAGCCTCATCGAGTACTGCATCGAGCTGAACCAGGCTGCGGAGGCCGCCGCTCCCCAGGAGAGCGTGTCTGGTCCCCACTCAGCCCCCAGCTCCTTGCCACCTCCCGCTCAGCGCCCCCAGCTGCGGAGGCAGGGCAGCGTGGTGTGCAGCCGGATCCAGCACCTCTCTACCATTGACTACGTGGAGGAGGGTGAGTGACCCCTTCGTGGTATACACACCATGCACACACATGTCTACACACACACACAGGCATGCCCTGGGGAGCTCCAGAGGGTAGGGAGGTACGGAGCAATTCCAGACACGGTGAGTTAGCCTCCAGCCGGCAGGACCTGGCTAAAAGACAGGAGGGCTGGGCATGACTGTCACATCTTCTGAGCTCTATGATCAGGAATTGGAGGCCTCTGGGGCCCTGGCAGTAAGAACTGTTTTCTGTCCCTTCTCACTGCTGTGTTCACTGCAGCATTGTCCAGATGGAAAAACTAGAAACTACCAATGTCTGTTATTAAAGGTGTGGGTACAGAAACAATGGGACCACAGCCTGTGGAATCAAGGCAACTGGTAAAGATACCCTAAATGCCATGTGGTATCTTGGATCAGGTCCTGGAACAGCCAGCGGACATTTGTGGAAGAACTGGTGAAATCCCAGTCTGTGTTTAGTTAATAATGCTGTATCGATGTTCCTCTCTCAACTTGCATAAATGTACAGTGGTAACAGAAGGTGCTGACATCAGGGGAAGCTGCATGAGGATACACAGGAACTCTTTCTGTTATCTTTGCAGCTTTTCTATAAATCTAGAATTATTCCCAAATAAAAAGTGTATTTTTTTAAACACAATAACAAATACCTACCTTTAATGGCAGATGTTGAGGAAATGATACTGAGTAGGAAGAATCAGGTAATAGGACGGCAACGTGCAAGACTGGTCCACGTGTAGAGGAGGGAGAGGCCCCAGCTGTGGGGATCACTTGCTGTAACTTTTATTTTTCTCTTTGTGCTTCTTTGTAGCATTTCAGTTTTTTACAACAAGCATGTCATTTTTATAATTGGAAGAAGCAAAACAATTTTTTTGTGTGTG